GAGGGGGCTGTGATTCCGCGAGAGAGGGTAAGTGATAGAAAGTTTTGGACTTCGCTCCCAAAATGTATCAGAGCCGTCCTCTTGTTCACTCCTTTCCTTTTGTTTTTATCATCATTAGTAACGAAAAAAACATAACATGGAATTGCAACAGCTATTAGTGTATTATTAGTAAATTGTAATTTTCATGTCCGTGCCAATGCGATAATATAACTACGAAGTAAGAAGAGAGGATGCGAATAGAGCCGTAAAGCATCTAAAAAGCAGGTTTCTGCAATCTGAATAGCTCAATTGTCTCAAGTCAAGACAAGTGTAAATACGATGATGAAGTTATTATCAGAGAGTTGACAGGCAGTAAATTTTACGACAGAATGAATGAATGTAAATATCGCGGAATCGCAAGATCACAGCATAAAAACTTAGCGAGGAATTCCTTCATGAAACCATAAGGAGTCAAACAGATCGAGTAAGAACTCATCAAACGGAGCTGTGGTCTAATTATCCTATCCTGTTTCGAATTAGCTCAACGCTGATATAAACACAAACGTTAAGCGTTATTTAGTTTCGTTCCCCGGTATAAAACCTCATAATTGTAATTAAAATGATTTTATAACCATTTAAAGAGCAATAAAAATCAACTCAAAGCCCGCGAATTATTTGACCTGCCGAAAGCCAGGACAGACGCGTGCTGTTGCCAGATTTACTGATAGTTTCGGCTTTATCACTCGCAAGACTAGATTTATTAATGGCCTCCTTTTATTGGGCCGTAGTTTTAACATCCGTTCCGCTTGTCGGCGCATCATTCAGCTGGGTTTATTGAAATTTTACGGGTGGTGAGAGAATACCACTCCTGTAATACCATAATAGTCTGTGTCTATTAAAACGCGACTTGAGTTCCTAATGAAGAACTCACTCGTCGAGCGTTAAAAAGTTCCTTCAATTAGGGGAAATACAACACTCCCTGCGTTGAAGTAAGTTTCAAGGAGGCAACATCTCACACAATAATGTCCGCACAACTTACCGCGCGAGATTTGGACAGGGGTGTAATTACACACTGAAAATAAACCAGAAACCCATACGAGAGTAGTCATATCCACTCCTATTCTTAAATATGTAATACCGCCAATCGTGGTTTGTCTATCAAAAATAAAACACACTTTTACGCACTAGAGTAGCAAAGTAGTTACTATTTGTAATCTCTCGAACAACTTGAGATTTTAATTTCGTTTATGTGGACCCAGGTGTCACTCGTCATGTAAACTTTCTGATATGCGATCGATCAGTATTGAT